TTGAGTGCATCCAAAGTAACTTTTAATTGATCGCTAACTATTCTGACGCCTAACAGGCCGTCAATATTAATATATTGTTTACAAGAATCCAAGAATTTAAGACTCAAACGTATGTTAGAAAAGCTTTGAAACAAAAGTGTATTTTTCGAAACAAACGAAACAGAATTTTGCCATTCATTCAAATTGTGATTAAATTGTAGTTCAAATACACTTTCGTTAAATCCAATCCAAATCATAAATATTAAACAAAATCGTCTCATTTTATAACATATTTTCATTTTTAGTGTAGTATTCATCCAAACATTTCTAACCAATATTAAGACAAAATCAAATCAAATAGAAAGATAGAATTGATTGAATCGACACTAACTGTAATCTTATTACAAATTCAAATTTCCTCACATTATTTTTATTCAACAATTAAAGCCAATACATAATAATCAGACAATTGGCTTACATATAAACCAATTCCACATTTAAAGTCAAATAATACCAATATTATAGGATAAAATAGGATCCTATGGTGTAAATCATTATTAAGTTAAACCAAATTCTTTAATAGGTATTTAGTATACATTTAGTATAATACTGTATATCAAACAATGAAATTCAATAAAAAAAACACAAAAACACTTATTATGTATATATAGTGTAGTATAATTAGTATCGATAAAAATAATATTTAAATTAATAAACAATAGTTTGGATAAAATGTAAATTAGTCTAGTGTTAGGTTAAAATATAGTTTATATTATTTACAGGAGTTGTAGTCAATTGTGATGAAATCTTGGGACTAAACACAAACAATATTAACGATTAGAAAATTATCTCATTGACAACTCATGGCTTACTTGACAGGCAGGTATACGTCCGCCTAATTTAGTACACTTCCCGGGCATCTTCTGGACCTGTTGTATACAAATTCAATTAAATGCTAGAAATGGCAAAAAAGACAATTTGATAGAAATAATAAGTGAATAACACATACGACTTGGACTTCGACATAACAATTGGATTCAATGACTGGCGGCGCTGTAAAGGCAGACAACTGTTGCAAATTCATCTGCGGTGAGGCCTGAATGGCTTGTCTTAACGCCTCTATGTTTTCGCGGTTAAAGTTTTGTCCGATTCTTCCCAAACGTATTCCTGGGATTCCGTTTAGGATCTGACGAAACTGATTGGCGTTTCTCTGCTAAACAATTTATAATTAAACTTCAATTTAATACTAATGTTATCTAATATACAATATATTAATTAATTTCATTTTAATATATACTTCTGGCACTTGATTTTCAGATACATCCGAGTCTTGTGTGGTGTCAATGGATTCGACGTTTGCATAAACCATACGAAAGGTGAATAAAAAAGTGGTCAAAAACAATATTAAAAGTGTACTCATTGTTAAATTCATTAGCAATTTAAATATTTTAACTAAAATCAGAGTCTATTCGGCAAAGAAAGCATTGGAAATAAACGAATAAAAAGTCTATTTATATGAAATGGTTTGCAATCAATGCTAACCAATGCTAAACTATGTGCTCACGAGAGCTTTGAGAAAGGTTTACAAATGGGCTTAAAATAAGCTGTAATTTGTAATTTACAAATTGTAAACTTATATGAGTTGACACATTCAATACTATAAATGCATTGCATTACTGTTAGCATTCAAAATGATTTAGTAATAATAGTTTTCCATTGTATTGATTGGTCAAAAAAATATAATTTCCAAAAAACAAAAGCTGATAATTAGATGTTGTTTTCCACTTTGAATCCAATGAAATCGTAAAAATGTTTTCAAAACTATTCACTTCTATTATATTTCATTGAATGACTTTTTTTAAACAGAATATTAAAATCCGGTTTAAAGTGAAAGTGAAAAACAAAAACTCTAATCACAGAAAGTTAATGAAAATATAATTAAATTTGAGTTCTATTTTTGATTTCAAACAAAAGGTTAATTCGTTTGTAAAGTATTGAGAGTTTTAGTCGATGTCGTATTTATTAAGTGTAATATATTTTGAATTAAATCTCAATTTGAAACAACGTTTTTACACTTCAATCACGTTTGGGAATCATTTCCTCGAAATTTAATTATATATTAAAATGTTTGGAATTTTTTTACTAATTGGAAAAATAAAACATTATTTAACACACATTTCATAAATTCAATTATATTAACAAATATACAAAAAAAAACTCGCTAAATATTTCTAATACAAACATGTACCTTTATGTGGTTTGTCACATGTTATTTATATTTTGTATCATTTCAATTAATTTATTCTAAGTACATAGATCAAATTTGTGATGAAAGGATTAATTCTCATCATTTTTAATCCCAATTCAGCATTAAATAATGTGGTTTATAGGATCATTCGACTAGCCCTCCCCGACCCCCCATAATAGAAATGGTGATCATAATATATTAAAACAAAAAAATTAAATCAAGACTCTTAATCAAATACGTTTTTAAAATTGCTCAAACATTTTAATGCACTTTTTATAAGTTTTTTGTAAATTATAAATTGTATTATAAATTTTAATTTTACATTAAAATAAGTGACTTATAAAGTTGTGTGATTTATCACTTTACGTATGTGATTTTTACACAAGGGGTGCACTTATATCCGAATATAGGTGCAGTAGTTTTTGTTGCATGAAAAATCTATAAAATTCACTTATAAGTGCATGCACCAATATGCCGCGTAATACTGTAATTAAATACAATTTATATTATAAATACATTTATAAATAATAATGTTTAAAATAAGCAAAAATTATTTCATCTATATTGGTTCAAATGAAAACTAAGTGACCTGTTATAAAAGTAGTGCAGTTAGAATTATGAAAATGGTATTATTTAAGTTAATATTCTTAGGCACCAGAAACCAAGTTTCATGAAGATCAGATAATTAGTGTTTATACTGGAAATTTTTCAAAAGTGCAAACTTTGAACATCTTACATCTTTTGTCAACAATTATCGTATTTTTATACTAAAGATATTTTTTACAAAAGACATGTTTGAAGTGATTATTTGGTTATTGGGATTCACTAATAGACTTCGAGAAGAAGTTATCATAACATCAACTATAATGGGAATCAAATGCAAACCGACTGAACACAGGCCACCAATCGGGTTGACTACCGTTAACGATATGGTCACAGTAGGGGTGCCGATCACTGTTGGACATTGAATAACATATCTAGAGCAGAGATTATTCGGGAATAAAAACAACCAATTTCGGTCGGGAACCGGGAGTAAAACAGTCAAATTCGGGAATATTAGGGAATTATCGTTTATTCACTTCAAACACAATAATTGTGGATTTAAATCATTTTAAAATGAATTATTGGTAGAATAACATAGAAATTGATGTTTTATTCTTTAAGTTTGTCTTCTATTTGCAAGAATATTCTTAAATTGAGAGAAAAACGCCGTCAACTCATTTAGTGCATATTTTGTTAGGCATCTTATTATAAAATGTTGTGAATTTTAGTCTAAAATCACACTCGGTAAATACCAAAACAGATACCCTCTCATAAGAATACATTGTCTTAACTAATGTCATATAAAATATTCCTGTGTCTTAACTATTGTGCGAATTTTATGAAAATGGTTTTTGATGCCTAAGAATGTTAAACTAAATAATGCTAAATATTTAATTTAATCATTTTCATAATTCTAACTGCACTCCTTAAATAACAAGTCACATACAAGTAAGTTTTTATTAGAACCAATATTATTCATACATAACAAATAACAAATAAACAATTGTCGTACAAAATGCATTTAAAAATTTAATTTATACAAATTATTTTAAACCAATTTATGTTGAATTTTTGAATAATATATAAATTCAAAAGTTTTTTAACTACAAAAAGGTTTAGTATTGTATTGTTTATAGAGGTTTATGACATTCGATGAGTTCGTCGACCCTTTCTTGTCATCTATTAATTGTAATAAAAGAGAAAAAGCATAAAAACAAGCGTTAATAATATTATTTATATCAATGTGTCTAACATTGAAAATATGGCACAGAATATCGATTTAACGAAAAAGTCATTCAATTTCTATGGAAGTGAATGAGAGAAGCGTTGCGTAGATATTAATGTTATACAAAAAGCACAACAAAACTAAGATATTAAACATTTTATCCAAATATAGGAAGTGATTCTTAGAATACCTTTTTTAATATACAGTACAAATCCATAACATTATGTCTTATTTGACACCTCTTTCAACAATTGAGTTAAATCTGAGACAAACGACAGACAAACAACTATCGGAAGAAAAACTTTCAATGTCTCCGTTGACCAAAAAGTTGCCGAAGT